CGCACCCAGGCCTTCCAAAATGTTGGGATTACAGGTGTGAGCCACCTCACCTGGGCCAAAATAAGACTTTAAATCAAAAAAGGTTACAAAGGTAAAGAATATTACATATTAGTAAAAGGTTCAATACAGCAAGAAGATATAACAATTATAAACATCTATGTTTATAGACCATCTATGTTTAATGACCATCCAAATATGATACAAAAACTGACAGAACTGAAGGGAGAACTAGTGTTGTAATAACAGTTAAAGACTACATTACCCCCCGCCCCCCCACCAATGACAGAACAACCAAACAGAAGGAAATAGAGGACTTAACACAACAAACCAACTAGATGTAACAGACAGACACGCTACCCAACATAGCATACATTCATCTCAAGTGCATACGGGACATTTTCCAGGATAGACCTTATGTTAGGCCACAAATTAAGTCACAATATATTTTAAAAGATAGGTATCATACAAAGTATCTTCTCTGACCACAAGATAACATTAGAAATCAATAACAGAAGCAAAACTGTTGTAACGGAAGTAAAATTCACAAAACTGTGCAAATTAAACACCACAGAGGCAAATTAGAAAATACTCAAAGATGAATGAAAATGAAAACACAGGATATCAACACTTACAGGAAATAGTAAAAGCAGTGCTCAAAGGGAAAGCTGTATAAATTCTTACATTAAAATCATCCCCACAGGGGTGCATACACCAAAATGTTTAATCACCTTTGGGTGATGGAATTACAAGCAATTTTGATCGGTTCTTTTGTGCTTTTCTCCATTAGGTACATGCAACTTAATAAGAAAAAAGTTACTGGCACTCAAAAATCCAATCCATCACTTAGAAGCAGCATCTAGCACAAAGTTAATGCTCTATCCATATTTGCTAATTGAAGGAATTTCTACAGTGTGTTTAGTTTTTTTTTGTTCCATTCTGTTTGAGAGGAAGGTCTCACTATGTTGCCCAGACTGGACTCAAACTCCTGGATGGTGTGTTCAGTTTTGCAAGCATGTTTATATGCACTTCTTTCTCTGCTTCTCATAATCACCTCTTGGGACCATAGAGTATGTTATCATTATTATCCCTAGAAAATGAGGCTGAGCATTCAGAGTTAACTAAATAGGGATTAGGATGGAACTTAACACCAAAACTTATAACTTTTCAAATTCAGAGTTTTCTTACTAGGTATATTATACTAAGCACCAAAAGTAGACTCCTACTCACATTCCCAAATCAGAGAGCTGATTCATTTCTACACTGTTTGAGAGGCAGCAAGCAAAGCAGAATAAAGAAAGGCAATTTTTTTTTAAGTTCATCAATCCTTTCAAACAACGAAAAAAGCCGAGTACTTACATACCAAATCAAATTGTTCCAGAAAGTCCACGTAACCAGCAAAAACAGTAGGAGCTAATGGCGTCATGATGTGCCACACTATTCTAAACATTTTACATATAGCTCATTGTTTAATCCTCACTTTAATTTTATGAGACAGATTACTATCTCTATTTTACAGATGAGTATACTGAAACACAAAGTTAAATAACTTGTCTGTAAAATCAGTTAGCTGCAGAGAGCTAGGTTCCAAAACCAGACAACTTTTAAAAAGTAAGGTCAAAGAGTAGAGTCAAATTATTTATAGTTTTATAAAAAAGGAAGGTCAAGCCCCAAAGGTCAAGGAGTCAAAAACCAAACAAAAACTTGGAAAAAATGATGATATATTTTTCCTCAATTCAAAAGATCTATAATCTTCAACCTATGGAAAGAATAAAATTATGTTTTTAATCATCTGAAATTCTAATGATTATAAGCAGTTACTTTCTCTTGTCGAATATTTTAATGAGAGCCTAATGATAAACAATGTGTAAAGTAATCATTCTTCTATTCTGAGTCAAAGAAGTAGTAAACAAAATTATGCACTTAAGAAATAAAGGTCAGGCTGGGCATGGTGGCTCACGCCTGTAATCCTAGCACTCTGGAAAGCTGAGGAGAGAGGATCACTCGAGATCAGGAGTTCGAGACCAGCCTGAGCAAGAGCAAGACCCAGTCTCTACTAAAAATAGAAAACAATTGGCCAAACAACTAAAATTAGAAAAAATTAGCCGGGTATGGTGGCACGTGCCTATAGTCCCAGCTACTCAGGAGGCTGAGACAGGGGAATCCCTTGAGCCCAGGAGTTTGAGGTTGCTGTGAGCTAGGCCGACGCCACGGCACTCTAGCCTGGGCAAGAGAGCGAGACTCTTGTCTCAAAAAAAAAAAAAAAAATGAAAGGTCAGATCAAAATTACATATAAGCCTTAAGAATACTTGTCATTTTAAAAGCCCCAGGCAAGGCCAACTTTAATAGTCACCAAGAAAGCACAAAGTGGGCAGTGCACACAAAAGCTTACAGTACTGTGGGCAATAACGAAGTTGGGTAGTACTAAAGTAACTATGTGCAATTATTTCAAAATGTTAAGAATATCCAAAATACATAGGGCTCCAATCACAGCACACTGGTAAATACTCTGAGAGCCATTAATAGATGACTATGATAAATTGGTTATAAACCCATAGTATTAAAGTTGTTTTGACAAAAATATTTGGCTTTCCACTACCAGAACTTTACAGCACTGTTCCACAGTAAGTGCTTCTTAGCTTTGTAAAACAAAAAGGCTAAGATACCAGTTTTTTAAATTTTTTTGTCTTTAGCAGAGAGCACATACCAAAACAAACATACCACCTCCCAAAATGACAACTCCAGCAAAAGACCATTCCTAAGGCAGTTCCCCTCTAAGCAGCACTTCTCAAATACAACAACCATTTAGAATCATAGAGGGTACTTTTAAAACACCAATACATTACACCCACTCCATACCATTAAATCAGAGTATCTGGGGATAGGTACAAGTGTTTTAAAAGTTCCCCAAGTGATTCTAATGTGTAGCCAGGGTTGAGAACCACTGTTCTAAGGAAATCTAAACTCCATGTTATCATTTTAAACAGAGGTTTTGTCCATAATTGTCTGAAAAATTATTCATCTTATTCAGCCAATTTGCAAACAGCTAAGAGAATAAGACAAATAGGACCCTTCAACTATTATTTATACTGTAACCCCCAGTTTCTTCAATTGTAAAATGGGGATAATAGTATTAATACCTCATTGCATTTTTAAGAGAATTAAAGTAACATTTGAAGTCCATGATTCAGGAACAGTATTAATATCCTCCTACTAAACTATTACCACTTCTCCAAAGACCACCTATATGCTGAAGGCACTCAGTATGACTTACCTATAAGTTGTCAGGGGAATTTTATAATACAAAATCCAGGATGAAAATATAACTTTCAGATTTCAAAAATCCAGTGTATATTAAAATGATGGCTAATTTCTGAAATCACAGCAGCTTCTCAAAACATATTCTAAGCAAACCTACTCTCCCAATTCTCCATTGTCTTCTATACAACCAACTGCACACACAAATGGGTGATAAGTGAAAATAAACTACTATACTGAAAAGTGGACCCTTTTAATTCTAAATACAATTACCAGAAGAATGCCCTAGGTTTTATAGATAAGAGAAACCATTACAGTATTAAGATTTTATAACTTACACACAACCACTGTTTAAAGAACTCACATAATTTAAATGCACTTAGGAAATAAGGCACAACAGTCCAAACTCCACATTTTATAAACTACCCACTGAATGAGAAAACAAGACTGGTAACTTTGGGCAAATTTTTGCATCTAATGGATTTTTAAACTTATTGTCAGATCTACAAAATGATGGAATCTTTTGTTACTATTCATCCTAAATGCAATTTATTTCAGTTCCATTCTAACTCAAGAATGTTACAAGGCATTGAATCCGCCTAAAAGCAAAGCAAATTCTGAGCTGATTCAATGCTTCACTGTTAACAATCTCCCCAAAGGAGAGTGATAACCTGGACAACCTAGACCACCACCATATCCAATTTAAGAGAAGATATTCAAGTAACTTCGCATAGTTCTTGAGAAATAGAAAGTTTTCCTTAAATGTTAATACTCAAAACCTACCCCTTACTGTTAACACTACTATAAATAACCCATTAGGCCCTCACAGTTTCATCAGCTTTAAGAATATCCCCTGCCATATGTCCTAGTAGAGCGCAACAAATGGAATCCAAGCATTACCCAAACATAAAATTAAATGCGAAAAGAATCTATGTTATTTGGTGTTCTAATCCGATGCTGTAAAATGTAAAAAGACTTAGAACTAAAAGCAAATGGACCAGCTACCTCACAACTATCTACAAGGTTAATTAAAGGAAACTTAATCCTTCCTACTTGCACTTTTTCCGTCATAAACAGGAAACTCCAAAGAAAAGGAAACAGAGAAAAGCCTATTTTTGCTAAGAGGAATAACGGCATTGCTTCCAACCCCCACCATGAGTGAACAAATGAAAAAGCAACGGGAGGAAGTGACGGGGGTGGGCGGCTGGTGAGCTCAGTTGGAGTCCTCAACATGCCATCCAGCGCATACGGTGCCCAAAAACATCTGTAACAGCAGCAACAGGGAAACAAGGGTCGGGCGCAGGAGGATCATGGATTGGAGAAGAGGGCTCAGAGTTGTGCCTGCACGTTCAGTTTCTTCCTTTACCAACTCTTCTCTCACCTCCCAATTCCCATTCTCCCCATCCCATCCCGCTCCCTCCATAAAGAAAAATACCCAATAAAAGCAGAGGCAGAGAAGACAAAAGAGGCAAGAGGAGGCTGCAAAGAGCATCGAGAACAATGGGGAAGACGGTGCGAAGCGAAACTCCTGAGGAGGACAATGAAAGGAGGTTCAGGCACCAAAGGAAACGCCGCCGAGCCCGGGCCCCGCCAGCGGCGGACGCCTGTACCCAAGGCCTGGACCCGCGGTTGGTGTCACCCTGGACGCCGCGGGCTGGGCTGGGCCCGGACGGGCGGGAGCCGCAGGGCCCGGCAGCACTGGCGGGGCCTGCCCGGCTCCGTGGGCAGCCGCCGGCTGGACTCACCGGCATTCTGGTCTCGGGGCCAGAGGTAGTATGTGGCCGGGATCACGATGAGCCCCACGAAGGAGGTGAGGAAGTAGAAAAAGGTGTTCCCACTGTCATCGTACTGGAACTGCTGCCCGGCCATGGCACCCCCTCCTCCTCCTCCCTTTCCTCACCGCCGCCGCCACGACCCCGCTCTGCACTCCGGCTCTCAACGCCCAGACCCTGTGTGGCGTAGCTCAGACGCTGCCGCCGCCGCCTCTCCTCCCCGCCCCCACGCTACTCTCACGGACACGCCGCCACCACTGCCACCGCCGCCGCTGCCGTCGCCAGCTATCGCGAGAGGAAATAGTTCCCGCCCCGCTCGGTTTTTTTCCCTCCCCCTTCTTGTCCCCCACAAGCTAGCTAAGGGAGACGTGGCGCGCGCAGCGGAGGAACTGGGGAGGCCCTGCCCCCATCCCCGCCCCCCAAGCCTCAGCCCCGCCCCCGAGCTCCTGTAGGCCCGCCCAGGGCCCCGCCCCTAATCCAAGGGTCCTTCCTCCTTTCTCCTCCGCTCTTTCTCTCCATCAATCCAGGCCGGATCCCGCGAGTACGGTCCGGGCGGAGGCTTCGGCGCCGACCAGTGGGCGAGGATGGTTCGCCTGGCTACGACTGGGGTCCGAGCTATTCGGAGCAGAGCTGAGGCTTCCGTGCCTCCCCCTCTCTCCCATCCCTACCCCACCCTGTCCTGCCCCCTCGGTTAATTGCCCTGGTTGATCCTGTTTCCTTAGGTTCTGGATCGGCTCCTCCAGCCCCCATATTTTAGCAACAAGTGTCATTTAGTCGGGGGAAGGGATTGTTGTAGCTGTGTTTGCTATTAAACAACTGCGATCTGCGCTGCGCCCATTTTGCAGATGCAGATTTACCAAGCCCGTACAGATGGCGCCCTACCCATCCCAGAGCGACTAATATTAATAGCCACCAGTAAACTAGCACTTCCTACGGCTCGGGCGGTAGGCTAAGACCTCTATTGCTTTGTATCATTTAATCGTCAGTAAACCCCATGGCATAAAGCCAAGCATGCCCTCTCCACACATGAGGAAATTGAGGCTGAGATTGTCCAAGGTCACGCACGGTAAGAGAAGGTCTGGGGATTCAAACCCGGATCACTCTGACACCACAAAGCCGGTGCCCTTGTCCACTTCATCGCCGTGGACCTTAGCATTTCCTTAGAGCGGCTGGCACTCTCCGCGGGCTGTGGGCAGGAACCTGCGCTTCGGAAAGGAACGGCTAGGGGAGCCCGCGCTCTCGGGAGCCTCTGCCTTCCCGAGCTGTAGGATCCCAGAGGCCGGTGTCAGCCGAGATGGCAGCGGAGCTTGTGAGCTGATCTCCGAACAACCCCAAGGTCCGGTCCGGCAGCAGCTGTGGCTGGGGCCTGTCGCAGCCTCTCCATTGACCCTCCCTCTGTGGGTCAAAAGGATACCCTACCCTGGTTGTGGAGATTAAAGGGAATAATTGTGAGAATGCTTTTCAAAGGAAAAAATATGTAATATGCAAATGCAAAATATTCTACTGTATTTTTAAAGACTCATTTTAAGACTTTATTAACTAAATGCCATTCAATATTCCTTCCATTGTCAGAGGAGAAATCTGGTCGCTTATGCTCTTTTATTTCATGTCTTTAAAACTAATATTTATCATAATCAATAATGCTTTCCTCATAATAGATTACGTTCACATGTATTCTCTCTTCCCTTTCAAATTTCCTATCTACCCACTTTGAAAGGAAATTTCTAACAATCGTTTTCTCTTCATTTCTCCCTTCATTTTACTCTGTATAAAGTTCCCAAAGACTACATCAGAGGGGGAAAAATAAAACAGAGAAGTGAAGGAAAGATTGGACTGTGAAGTCAACAGAGCTTTGTTGGTCTATATCACCCAGAATGAACAATTTGCCTTGCTGCAGAAACAAATTAGTCACAAACTTGGCTCAACTGAAGTGAGAAAGATCCTGAAGTTCCTTTTATGTTAGATTTGTTGAATTTGTTATTAAGTCTTCCTATGCTTTAATAATGTTGAACTGTTTTTATTTTTTATTACTCCAATTATGTTTTACTCAGCATTTGTGTAAAGTTAATACATCGGTTTTATAACCTTGTGGCAACATAAATTATTGATGATAAATATTCCCCTTTTGACTTTCTGCAGGAGTAATCTCTTCACTGCAGCTTTGAGGTCATGCGTAAGAGTGGTTTGAACCAAACTTAACCACGAAATAACAATTTGAACAAATTACGTTAATTTGCTAAACCCCAGACCAATCTAAAACATGAATTTTTTTTTACCAAAGCATGTTAAAAATTTGAAACTGTATCCTCTATTTTCAAAGTATAAATACATTTTATTCTAGAATTTAACATTATTGAACACAGATAAACTCAGACCATTCAAATAGTCTCCAAAGCAAATCTAAACCATACCTTTAATTTCATCACAATTTCTGATTCACAGTGATGTTTTTAACCTAATACAATTATTTCAAGAGATCAGTTTAGTGAAATATTTAATAAAAGCAAATGAACATGGAAGAAGCAGAGCTACAAACACACCTTGTCCTTAGTCTAATAGCACATGTTAAAAGGCATTTTAGTATTGTCTTTTCATGTGTCTGTAATTGAATATCTTAATCTATTTCATTTTAATTCCTAGGAAGACATTTCCTCTCAAGTATAGAAAACCTGACTATTTTTAGGTTCCTCTTCATAATTTGCTTTTTTTTTTAGAGTGATTCTTTTCTTCATTATAAGTTACCATTTTACTACTGGTGTTGACTTACATTTACACATACCAAAGTACATTTGTGTAGCTGTAATCAACATTATTCAATTCTGCTTAATGGTGTCAGCTGCAATGAAACTGGAAGGAGCTGAATTATTAAATAACTACATGCAATTATTTCCAATCTTCTTCCCCTTCCCCCATGCTACAGTAGACCATAACCTTTACTGCCAAAACCTACCAAATCATCTATAAAGTTAAACCCCTCATGACTGTGTTTTAGAGTCAGGATTTTTTTCATTAAGAGGCTAAATCTCTTCTGGCCAATTCTTTTTTATTTTTCCTTAATAGTGATGAAAAGTTGTCACCATCATAATGACAACAGTAACATCAACAAAACACTCGTACAACACATGATCTACAAAAATCTTCCGCAACATTATTCCAGTTGAAATTTCAAATCATGACATACATGTTGCAAACACTCCAGAAAGGAGTATTCCTGGAAGTGGTAACAACTATACATGAAAGTAATTGTAAACCACATAAATATTAATATATCCCCCTAACTCCAGGGAAGTGAGTAGCTCTAGTCCCAGCTGACAGGAGTCCCAGCTCTCATGGCCGATATCCCAGCTCTCATGGGACATCAGCCATGACAGCTGGGACTGGACATCAGATTAGCACAAACTCAGAGTACCCACCACCGAGCTGCCTGGTAACCAGCCAAGAAATTTCAGTATGAACGAGCATTTCCAGTTGTGAACTAAAATAAAATCTTAAGCCCCCACCCCACCCCAGCCAACTGAATGGACCCCCTCTTGGCCAAGGGGACCCCCTCCCCACCCCCCCGTGCAAAAAAACCTTAAAGCTGACTTGCCCACCGTGAGGAGAAGGGAGGTCAGACATGCCTAGTCATGCCCTGTCTCTTTTGGAGTTATTTTTTGTAACAATAAGGTACAAAATCATTAACAAGCCTAAAGTCATGTAAGACAAAGTTTAAACCACAGCTGCAGACCATGGATTTACTTAACAGATCACTTGAGTCTGGGTATATGTCTGTATATATTGGTATATGTTCAGTGGCTTGTCTCTGATTAACAGACTTCCGTGTCTTAGAACAGCCCAAGCCTTTAGACAAAGCTTCATTTTTTTCAACCAATTACAAATCAAATAATCTTTAAACCCACCTATAACATATAATCCTCCACACCTATAATCTCCCGCTTCAAGATGTCCTGCCTTTTCTGGTCAAACCAATGTACAACTTCCATGTATTGATTTATGACTTTACATGTAATTCCTGTCTCCCCAAAATGTATAAAACCAAACTGTAACCCAACCACAGTGAGACCACTTGCTCAAGCCTTCTTGGATGTGGCTCCCTGGGCCACAGTGACACATATTTGGCTCAGAATATACCTTTTTAAATTATTTTACAGAGCTTGGGGTTTTTTCTGTTGACACAGTGCAGCAAAACCACATTGGTAACACTAATGTGGTAAGTTCATCCCTACCAACGCCAACTGATCAGATGGGAGACGGAAACTTTGACCTAGACATTGACTAGATTCAGCCCTTATTGTAATTTCTGATTCACTGGACAAGTCGGCAAGAGAACACAAGAGTTAAATAAATGAATAAACTTGCTCTACAGGTTAAGTTGTTACCTTGCTTTGATTGGTAGTGAAACAAAGGCCAGAATTATGTAACAATAAAACTCTGACCCACAACCCTTACCGCAGCCAGTCCAGGAAGCCAAACCACAACCTCAACAGGAATTGGCCTAGATCGTCAGGACTCAGTCAATGACTACCAGTTTCAAATTTTTTGCTCCCACTTCTAAATCAGGATCAACCAGCCAAATACAGTTGATAAACCAATCACATAGGATGCCCTGCTTCTAGTTAGTCTGCCTCCAGCTTCTCCATGCCAACAACCTACAATCAGAGCATACCTAAAGCCTTCCCCTTTTTTTCGCTCTAAAGCTTCCCCACTCCCCTGCCTGGCTTTGAGTTTCTGCCAACACAAGTGATGATGGCAGAATCCCTTGCTATAATAAGCTCTGGATAAATAGCATCTGTTTGTTCTCATTTGGGTGATCTTTGTCTATTTCTTTGGTGGGCAAATGCTAAGTGAATTACTCTTAACAGTTGTTAAGTATGGTATCGCACACATACCAGTATTCTAGCATAAATGTCTTACTGGTCTGCCTATATCTCCTCTCACCCAAACCCAGATACTCTAGGGGAGAAAAAAAGCAGACAATAACCGACCTGAAGGCCTGGCAGGGTGGCTCACAGCTGTAATCCTAGCACTTTGGGAGGCCAAGGTGAGAGGATCTCTTGAGGCCAGCAGTTTGAGACCAGCCTGAGCAAGGGCAAGACCCCATCTCTACAAAACATAGAAAAATTAGACAGGTATGATGGTACTCGCCTGTGGTTCCAGCTACTCAGGAGACTGGAGGCAAGAGGATCCCTTGAGCCCAGGAGTTTGAGGTTGCAGTGAGCTATGATGATGCCACTGCACTCTAGCCCAGGCAACAGAGTGAGACCCTATCTCGAAAAACAAAACAAAACGAAAAAACAACCAACCTGAGCCTCAGGTTCACTGCCTGAATTTGACTCAGGACCACAGAAATAAAGAGACTTTTTAGAACCTAAGGAATGTTCTTCCATAGC